TTCTTCATGAAAACGTGTGCAGATCTCCACCTCACTGCACTTCGTGTCTTATAACCATCTAGTTATTGGTCTTCATATCTGTCTTCCTCTCTCGATTCAAAATTGCTAGTAGTTATCTATGGGTTTTATTTATCTTCATTACCTGTTGTGACTGTGTGACTAAGAGATTGTAAGCATTCAATCAATGCTTACAGAACAAATTGCGTTTGGTCTAGCAGTGACTCACAGCCATGGTGAAGGATATCCGTTCTTAGGAAATGTAATGATGTACAGTCATTCAAAGCTCGGTTTAGCATCTGCTTTCAAGATGTTCTGATGCTTTTCTTGCTCCACCTGACTGGGCTTTCACTTTTGCTCCTATCTGTGCACATCTGAGCAATCCAGAAGCTTCACTAATAGGAAGGCAGTGCTTCCTCCAGCTTTCCTTCTTGGGAAGCTGCATCTACCATGATGATCTGACCAGGGCTGATGGGGACAGATGAGAGCCACGTCGCCACCCCAGCATCCTCTGTCAGAGCCACAGTCATCAGAACCATGGAACGACTGACTGAGTGAGCATGCTTTTGTCCTTCCATCTCCGGAAAAAATGACAGGAGCTCTGAAACCAGTTTGAAACCTGAGCATTAGGCTTGACTTTTTGTAAACTGGTATCTGTGGGTAGGTTAAAATGGCCTTGTTTCAATTTTGTATGTTCTAAGCTGGACCAAAATGAGGCAGTGGAAATTCATTATTATGCAGTGTTTCCCAAGCTGTAAGACACAGTCTGCCCAAAGTTTGCAAGATGATTCCATGGTACACGTGTGAACAGATTTTAATTAAGAACGCAATTGTTTAAATTCAAGTAATCTATTTTTTAAGTCAGATATTGAATTACCTTTTATTTAGAGCAAATTTTTTAAAAAGGCATTGATTTAAATTCATTGCTGTGTAAATAATAATATAGATGCTTTTAGAGGATTAGAGTCAGAAAGCACTATTAAATTCCATTCCTTAAGGCTCATGCCAACCAGGAAATTAGAGTGGCAAAAAAAAAAAAAAAATGACAGAGCTGGAAGAATCCTTAGAGACCATCTAATTCAATTCACTACTTTATATACTTACTTAGCAAGTATTTGTTGCAAACTTCCTATGTATAAGATTCTAGGCAGAAATACAGTGAATCAGACAGTCCAATGGGAGATACAGATGTTATACCCAGTAAAGAAATTATTGTGTGGGTTCTGTGAAGCATATAAGAAACCATTGGGCTGGGGTTATGGTTGAGTGGTAGAGAGCACTCACCTAACATGTATGAGGCACTGGGTTCGAACCTCAGCACCATCTGAAAATAAAAAATAAATAAAACAAATATAGTCTTAATTAAAAAAAAAGAAACCATTAACATCAGGAGAATGTTTGCATGAAATCTCAAAGGATCAGGAGACATTAACCATTCAAAGCAGGGCTTGAGATGATGGTAGAAGCAGTTGAGGGCAAGGGAGGAGAGTATGTTATCTGAGAGCGCCAGGGTAGCTAGAGTACACGAGACCTCAGTCTCTCAGTGGGAAGATGTCTGAATGAAGCACCTGAAGTAGCTAATTTCAATCAGGACCCACCCAGAAACAGAGGCCCAGGAGGCAGTGTGACCTGGCCACAAATCCCAAGATGACCACACACCCCAAGAGCAGTCAGACCCCAGCTTCAATCATTCTCTTATGGGTTTGTACATTGTATCAATGCTGGTATAGAGAGCCCTGTGTTCAGGTTCTATTCAGGTGCAAGGGACCCTAGAGAGACGAGAACAAAGCAGACCAAAGCCCTGCCACACACAGCCTAAGATGGTCCAGACAGTCTATAAACAGACTCTAAGATGGTCCAGACAGTCTATAAACAGACATGCTTGCCAGCAGGATAGAAGTAGTTTAGAGAAAAGTGAAGCAGTTTTGTGTGGGTGTCCCCCCAATAAGTCAGGGCTGGCCACATCCCTTGACCTCACTGAGGGGTCTTTTCAGCACCCAGCACTGCTTGTTGATACTCAGACTCCTTCTGCTTTACCCTGTACTATAGATTTGTTTAACTAATTCTAATAAATGCTGGCAGACAAAACATTTTTAACAGGATACTTAGTCTTATAGGAATGTTCCAGGAAGAATCAACAGTAGGGCATCTCCTTCTATAAATGCTAAGTGGATTTTGAGTTGATATAGCATGGGCATTTGGGGGAGTGCAACCATTTCCAAAGTGTCATCGTGTCTGGTGAAATCCCAGAATGCCACCTGCACACCAGTGGGCTTCACCCACAATGACCCCAGGAAGACACATCTCCCTGTGCACATGGATCTCAGCTTCTCCACAGCTGCCTCTTCAATATGCCAGTCCTTACCTCAAAACACAGACATTATGCTTTTCCCCTCTAGAATTTTAAAATTACTCATTTGGGAACAGGTACCAACACATGGGCATTGGTTGTTTCCCCCAGTGATGGCTTTTATACTCCTATATTGCACCTGAGCACAGTCACCTTTTCATCCGTGACTCTGTGCATTCTTGTGCTATCAGAAGAATAAGATAAAAGCACAGTGGCACAGAAGCAAGATTTTATTCTTACGTTTGAGCATAAGGGAGGTAGCGTATGGGAGCCAGAAATCCCAAGCTGACTCTAACAAAGGACAAAGGTGTGCAGGCTTTATGGCTTCTTCAGGGGAAGCAGGGACCTAGACTCTTGATGTCAGCACATACATATTGGTCCTGTGCTTCTTCTTCGGCTTGCCTCTTCATGCAGCACATATCTAATTTCCATACGAAGTGTCCACCTCAGGGTATGATTTTTACTAAGAAAGTAAAAGTAACTGGAGAATACTGGAGCTGTGGTTACTGGGACTGAACCAAGGCTTGCACTCATACATATGAGGCAAGTGATCTATGCTCAGCTACATCCCCGTCCCTTTTCCATTTAATTTTGAGACAGGGTCTCACTAAGTTGCCCAGTCTGTCCTCAAACTTGTGATCCTCCTTCCTCCACCTTCCAGGTAGCTGGGATTACAAGTGTGCACCACCATGTCCAGCCAACTGTAGATTAGTTTACTGACAATTCTATGCATGTGTTTGACCCATACCATCTGGAATTGTTTCTTATCATCAAGGAGAGTCTGATATTTCTTTTTTCAGAGCAGAGAAAGCTGTTGTCCTGTCTCTTTTTAGTAACCTGTCTGCCTCTAGCTTCTTGGTATTTCTACTGACCACAGGGTCTCAGAAGGCTGAACTGGCTTCTCAACCTCCCATCTCCTGGTGTGTTATCTTAACTTTATAGACCTGAAGACTGGTCCACTTTTTAAATTCTAATTTTCTGATATGTATTTTAACTGTATAAGACCGAGTGCTAACTTGACTGTCTTGTTCCCCCCTGAGAGATTTTACTCACTTAATCCTAAGGGATACTATTTCCCATGGGAATCCCAGATAATGTCATTTTGACTGTTCTTGGCAAACAAAACAATTTGGGAAACAATCAAACTAAAATATTGACTTTAGTTGCCTAAAAATATTAGGGAGGTAGGTGAAATGTTATCCTTAAAGACCTAAAGTCCATTTCTTTGCTGACTGTCAGAAGAATGTTTCCCAGCCTCACTAAAGTCTAGAGACCCTAAGTAATGGTCAGATTAAAAATGACTTGTCAGCAAGACTGGACACTGGGGACCTATGGAAGTCCAGCACAGTGAGACTCAGCCATGAGGAAGCTGTTCCCATAATGTACTAAAAGTCGGGTAAGGAGAGGCTGTGAGTACACAGTCTCCTCTCTGATACAAGGCAAAACCAGGGACCAAGTTTCTGAGTCCCCAGATCCCAGCTCTGTCAAATGTTCCTGAGGAAAGAAGGCTGTCCCACTTCTGATGGCCTCAGAGCCTACTCAGGAAGCCGTGCATTGAATGTTAAATGAAGATAGTCCTCCAAGCGCTCCCCCAGATCCCCAACCCATCACCACATCTTCCCTATCCTACGGTCTTGTCTAGTAAAGAGGTCTGCATAGGGCAAGATAAGGGATCACAGTTGATGGGGAAAGCAGAAAGAGGTGACTTTGAAATACAAGATCAATCAAGAGAAGATGGTACTTAGTGAACAGCCTAAGCACCATATGATTGAAAAGAACTGGATGGTAGGAAAATAAATGAAGTTTTCCAAGTACATCATGGGTAAAGATCTTAAGGAAACTAAAAGTTCCTAGCACAGGACACCAAATCAGTGTTGTCTGCACACAGGAGAATGTTATGAATGTCCTGAGAGTGACATAGCTGGCTGTCAGGCCATGAGGTCAGAAACAGCCCATGTCTTCTACTGCCATGTGCCAATAACAGTGAAGCAGGGTCCCCTTTATAAGAAACAGTGGCCAGGCCATATTACTCAGTTAACAGAAAATCTAGCTGTGAAAATGAGGTTTTTAGACCTTGCAAAAATTGATTGTGTGACATCTGAGCTACATTTTTACTTTGACTTGGCCTCTGGCGACTTTCCAAATTTTATGACACCCGGAAGGAGCATTATCGAGCTTCAGCATCATTTCAACTTGACTGCTTGTGGTCTTTCCAGCTTGGGTTATCTGTCAAAGATGTTCCTAGTAAATCATTCCAAATAGGTAGTTGACCAGTATGTTCTATTTGATCTGATCTTATCATTATCTATTACAACCAATGAAATTAAAGTATGCTATCATGGAAAGGATATCCAGGAGAAAGAAACACCATTCAATTAACATCAAAACCAATTAAGAGCTAAGTTCACACTGGGCATAATTAATAACTATCAGACCATTAAGTAGGCAATACCATGTATATAGCATCTACTTATGTCTCCACAGCATTATATCATATCCCAGTAATTTGTCATTTTTCTTCCACAAATAATATGTGAGTTAACTCAGTTTGTACATCTTTAAATTAAATTTTTACTATACACTTGTAAATAACAAAATAGAGCCAAGATATTCTTTAAAAACATAGAAAATGTACAAGTTATTGACAATTTACTTATTTCCAAGACTTTATTACTTTAAATCTCTCTCATCTATTCTGAATTACCTAATTTATTATCAGAAATGTGTACAAAATTTTTAAAGAAGAATGCTGTTATAAATTTATTTCTAATTATTATCATTGTATTTCAAAATAACTATCAAATCAATGTGTTTGGGCTCTTGATTTACTGAATGCTTTCTAACAGTTCTTTAATCCAGGACAGAAGAATATCCAGTTCACTGATGGCTTTATAGATTCCTTTGTTTCCAATCTGCAGATAAAGTAAAAAATATAAAAGAAGAAGTCTTTCATACGGAGGAAAACAAATCATTCAAAAACAAGAATTTGAAATATTTACCCCATAAAACGTTCTTTTCATTCTGGTAATGGATGTCACCTCTCTAGCTGGTAAAGCACAGGATATCTAAGAAATCAACAATAAGTACAGACAAAATTGTTGAAGATGCACTTATTTTTTTAATTCTTTTCAGTTGTAGTTGTACACAATACCTTTATTTTATTTATTTATTTTTATGTGGTGCTGAGAATCAAACCCAGCGCCTCGCACATGCTAGGCAAGCGCTCTACCACTGAGCCATAACCCCAGCCCCTGAAGATGCATTTATAATGCTCTTCCATCCATTCAACAAATGTTTATTGAGCAAGTATTATGTTCTGGTCACTGGATATGGTTCCTGTCCTCACAGAACTTACAGTTTCAGAGGAAATAAGATGATAAATAAGAGTACGAAAATGAAAATTTGCAAATTACAATTAAAGCTATGTTTGCAATACACAGTGCTCTGTGATAGAGATTTATAGTAATAACCAACTTTCAATTGAGTGGTTACAGAGGGCTCCTTTGAAATAGAACATTTAAAATAACATCTGAAAAATGAGAAGGAGCCAGTTTGGGCTGTCTGAGAAAGCAAGGAGAGGAGAGAGGAAGTTGGAGAAGAAACACAGGCAGAGTGACTTAGACAGAGGGAAAGATGTTGCCAAGGCCTGAGCAGGGAAGAGATCAGTGCCTTCTAAACACTGGAAAAACGAAAGCATGGCTGGAGCAGTTGAGAAAGAGAGCTGTTGGAAGTATGGAAGATAGGAGAAGGACAAGAAATGTTTACTTTTTGAAAATTCACCCCAGCTGTCACATACAATTTACAGTACAATGTTCAGTGTGGATTATCAGGAGAAAACTCCCAAGAATTTCATATTAATTGCTCCAGGAGTGAGCTGATATTTTGAGAAGCTGGCTGGTAGCCTGGTCAGGAGAAGATGCCAGTCTCCCTTTGTGCAGTTATGCTTTAAAACCCTATCTGAATGCAGAGATCACTTAGGAATAAAATAGGAAAACAATTAACATCTTCTTCTATTCTCTCACAAATTTTTATAGGGTTAAAGAAAAGGGAAGAGAAGGAAAAGTTGGAAACGTCTGATTTATTCACTTAGTTTTTATTCATAAAACTTTTGCATTCAAATTGACCAAGGAGACTTTATAGATTGGTTATTCACAATTTGCAAAAGTGAAACTACAGTTCAGGTAGTTTAGTCACTTAGTTAAAGTCTCACAAGAGGCTGTATCCTAGTGACAAAATAGTGTGGAGGCACATCAAGAAAGATAACAGTTAAAACTCATGAAATGGAAGTGGATGAAGGATAATACATGGCAAAAGTCAACCAACAGGTGTTTTTATCCTACAGATCTGGTAGGATAGCTAGACTTCACTACTGTAACTAAGGAGGACTTATCTGAAAGGAGGGCTTTCTAAAAGAATGCTCTCATTTTTTAAAAAAATTTTCAGTATACTCTTGCAGTTGCAAAAATTGGGCTACATGACAAAAGGGTTAGTAGTATCATTATAAAAACCACTGAATGACCAAAAATGGCTGAAAATTCAACTGAAATAGACATGATTTAAACTAGAGGCAAATTATTTGTAGTAACAGAATAACTAGAGAACTAATCAAAGAAAAGTGTGAGGAAAGTCATGCAGTAAAAAAACACTGCATGCTTATCATAGACTACAGCTTATCATTCACCATTAAATCAACACATGTTTATTGCAAACCAAGTGGTATACACTTGGCATACAATTGTGCCTCTCCCATATTGTGCTGCTATATTTTATTCATTTAGAAAAGTACCTTACAGAGAGGGATAAATTATGGACTTGAGGTACCCAGTATATACTGGCTGCCTGAGATTGAAAGAAGTTGATAGAGGTATGGCTGCATAACGAGTGGTGCTGGTGATTGAACAATTTCACCATTACGATTGGGTGCTTTGATGCTGAGCTATACCCCCATGCAGGGAATGTTGTAAAGAGAAAACTACTCACTGAAAAGACATTCACACAGCAGAGGAAGTCAAATCCATCACAATACATGTGCAAGCAACAACATAGAAACACAGGAAACATGAGGACATAAGCAAACAAGACATCTCCAAAAGTTCATAGTTCCCAAGTAACCAAATTCAGATATTGAAGTAGATGAAATGTAATACAATGAATTATTTTTAAAAAATTTATTATTAAAATGATTAGTGAATGAAAAAAAAGCAATGAACTAAGGGAAAAAGTACAGGTTATAAAAGAATATATCAATAAAAAAGATTCTGAAAAATAAACAATAATCATGGTGATGAAAAATTTAATAAATCAAATGAATATTTTAGTAAAAACCTAACCAACAGACTAGATGAAGCAAAAGAAAGAAAATCGGGGCTTGAAGACAAGCTTGTTGTTTTAGAACACTCAGACAGTAATAAAGAAAAAATAAGAAACTATGAGCAGAGTATTCAAGAGCTCTGGGACAACATTAAAAGACCAAAGACCCATAGATCTTGAAGAAGGACCAGAAATATAGACTAATGGTACAGAAAACTTATTCAGTGGATGAGATTAACATTCAGGTATTCAAAGCACTTAGAACCCCAAATAAACAGGACCAAAAAGTCAAAAATTCAGAACAAGGAAAGAATCTTAAAAGTTGTAAGAGAGAAGCAACAAGTAAAATACAAAGGAAAACCCATCAGAATAACAGAAGATTTTTTAGCAGAAACTCTAAAGGCCAGGAGGGCATGCAATTATGTATTTCAAGACCTAAAAGAAAACAACTACCAACTTAGACTACTATATTCAGCAAAGCTATTCTTCAAAATCATTCTTCAAAAAGCTATTCTTCAAAAATTTAAATAAAAACTTCTGAGATAAGGAATTCATGACTACTAAGCCAGAATTTTGGAAGATAATTGAAGTAATCTTTTATTCAAAAAGAAAGACAAAAAAAATAGAGGCACAGAAAGAATAAATCACACCAGGAAATATATCTTACAGGCAAAGACATTCACAAACTGAAAGTCAAAGAATGGAAGATGATGTTCCATGCAAAAGCAATTCAGAAGCAAGAAGGACTAGCTACTCTGCTATCAGACAAAGCAGACTTCAAAGTAAAATGCATCAGAAGAGGCAAAGAAGAAAATTATGTGTTGGTCAAGGAAATAAGATGATATAACAAATGTAAATATTGGTGCTCGAAACATTGGTGCACCCAATTTCATAAAACATTGATCAATATAGAGGGACCAATGGTCCATCACAATAATAATAGGAGATTTCAAGAACAACACTCTCATTGATAGGTCATCCAGGCCAAACAACAAAGAACAGATTTAAGCTATATTATAAATCAAGGGGACTTAACAGACATTAGCAGAATATTTCTTCCAACAACAGCTGAATGTACTTTCTTTTCAGTCACTCATAGACTTTTCTCCAAAATTGATTCTTCATTAGGCCATAAAGCAAATCTTATCCAATACAAAATATTGAAATAATATCGTGCATCTTTTCAGATCATAATGAAATGAAATTTAAATTAATAGCAAGAAAAACTAAAAACTCCATGATATATGAATTCAAAAAGATACTTTTCAATGATGGCTGGGTCATTGAAGAAATATTGAGAATGTTAAAATATTCCTAGAATCAAACAAAAATGGAAACACAACATTCCAGAATCTGTGGAATGCAGCGAAAGCAATTATTAGAAGAAGGCTTATGAAGCTATGAGTACGCATCCTAAAAAATCAGAAAAATCTCAAATAATAACCTAATTATATATCACAAATTTTTAGACAATGAAAAATAAACCAATCCCAAAAGCAATAAAAGGAAAGAAGTGTAATAAATATCAGACTGAAATTAAGGAACTAGATAATAAACAAAAAACTACAAATAATCAATGAAATAAAGGATTGGTTCTTTGAAGAGACAAACAAGATTGATAAACTGTTAGCCAAATTAATTTAAAGAATGAGAGAAAAGACCCAAATTAATAAAATTAGAGACAACAAAGGGGATATTACAACAGACATCATTGAAATCCACATGATCATTAGGGACTATTTTCAAAACCTACAATCCAATAAATTGGAAAATCTAGGAGAAATGGATGAATTTCTAGACATCTACAACATATCTAAATTGAACCTAGGGAATACAGAAAACAAACAAGCTAGTAACAAGCAATTAGATTGAAATAGTAATTTTTTAAAAAAAACCCTCCCTAATGAAGAAAAGCAGGATCAGATGGATTCACAGCTAAATTTTACAAGATTTTTTGAAGAATTAATACCAATGCTTCTTAAATTACTCCATGAAATAGAAAGGAAGGGAAAGTATCCAAACTCGTTCTATGAAGCCAGTATCACCCTAATACCAAAACTGGATAAGAAGAAATCAAGGAAAGAAAATTACATACCAATGCCCTTGATGAATATATATATACACAAAAAAATCCTTAATAAAATACCTGTGAGCTGGGCATGGTGGTGCACCTGTAATCCCAGCAACTCAGGAGGCTGAGGCAGGAGGATCACGAGTTCAAAGCCAGCCTCAGCAATTTAGCGAGGCCCTAAGCAGCTTAGAAAACCATGTCTCAAAATAAAAAGAACAAAAAAGGGTCTGAGGAATGTGGCTCAGTGGTTAGGCAGCCCTGGGTTAAATCCCCAGTACAAAAAGTAAAAATAAAAATTTGTAAACCAAATTTAGCAACACATTAAAAAGATTATAATCATGATCATGCTGGTTTCATCCCAGGAATCCAATAATGACTCAAAATTCACAAATCAATAATTTGATACATAATGTAAATAAAATCAAGGACAGAAATCACATGATCATCGCAATAGATGCAGAAAAAGTCTTTGACAAAATTTATTATCCCTTCATGATAAAAATCCTAAAGAAAATAGTTAGAAGGAACTTACTTCATCATAATAAAGTCTGTATATGACAAACCTAAAGCCAACATCATACTGAAAGCATTTCCTCTAAAATCAAGAACAAGACAAGAATGTCCACTCTCACCACCCTATTCAATATAGCACTTCAAATTTAACACAGAACAATTAAGCAAGAG